AACAATTGTCCTGTATCATTGTTAATTTCTTGATTTTTGCTAATTGTTTTGTGGTCATATAAGGAATATTTTTCTTAAGGGTACACATTAAGAAGTATTTGGGGGGAAAGGAGGCATCTGTAAGTCTACAAGTATTTAAAAATGAGTTTTAAAGAAGGAAAAGGTAGTCAGGGGAAATGATGCAAGTCTGGCTGCGGTTCATCCCGTGGCACTGCGTGGTCGGCAGTCCCATATTATCAAAAGTTCTTACGTAGTGTAATTTCTAGAAGATTCTCATTCCAATATGCGTATTCTTCCACATGTCTGGATATTTTGGTTATAAAAGAAATGCATGCATTCAGAAAATGTGAACACATTTGCAGACCATGGTTTATGAGGTCACATACTCAAAAATCTATAATATTTATGAATATGTACATTATTTGATCTGGCGTTTATAGATTTAAGAATTTTTTGTGGTTATAATATTTTTGTTTGCTTTATATTAGAAAACCAAAACTTATGAAGCTGTAGTTTCAGTGTTTATTACATTACATGACATTGTTATTTTGTTTTTTAGACCACATGAACTAGACTTTAAGTATGTAATGAAAGTGTCGTCTTTGAAAAACAGACTACCAGAAGCTGCTTTTAGAAAACAGAATTACGTGGAGCACAAAGGTCTGTTCAGATGTCATGGTACACTGCATGTCCTGAGCTCTGTTCCAGTTCTTTTCCACCCTCTCTTTCATACACACATGCACGCGTGCATGTGCACTCTCTCTCTCGCCCTCTTACTTCTGTTTTCCCTTAAGTAATTCTTAAAAGGGTCTTTTGTGAAAGGTGTAGAGTAGCTCTGTGATTCAGTTCTTGGGAGGTTCCCTCTCTACCTACTTTCTGGAGAGTTTATATCGTAAATGGGTGCTGAATTTTCTCAAAAGCTTTTTCTGCATCCATTGAGATTATCATATGGCTTTTATCCTCCAATTTGTTAATATGGTGTATCACATTGATTGATTTGCATATATTGAAGAATGCTTGCATTCCTGGGATAAACCCCACTTGATCATGGTGTATGATCCTTTTAATGTGTTCTTGGATTCTGTTTGCTAGTATTTTGTTGAGGATTTTTGCATCTATGTTCATTAGTGATATTGGGCTGTAGTTTTCTTTCTTTGTGACATCTTTGTCTGGTTTTGATATCAGGATGGTGGTGGCCTCGTAGAATGAGGTTGGCAGTGTTCCTCCCTCTGCTATATTTTGGAAGAGTTTGAGAAGGATAGGTGTTAGCTCTTCTCTAAATGTTTGATAGAATTTGCCTGTGAAGCCATCTGGTCCTGGCCTT